GCACTTATCATAAGCCTCCCCCCTTGTATGTACACCTTAGAGATGTGCTGACTCAAATTCTAATAATATTAGTTGTAGTTGGTGATGATACTGTACTTTTGTTATATATTTCTTCTGTCTTTCCTCCAAGGAGGCCAGGAAGATGTGCCTTCCTCATAAAAATCAGGGCTAGCTCTAAATCTGAATGGGGAAGTTGGCAAAGCACCTTCTGGTGGTCTCCCTCCTAGACTGGTGAGACTCAGTTGGCTTACTTGATAGTAGTAGTAGTGGCAGGTAATCAGCACTGGATAGCTGGGTCTATAGCAGTGATCTCCAACCTTGGCCCTCCAGATGTTCTTAGACTACAGCTCCCAGAAGCCTTCACAACCACCTCTGCTGGCCAGGATTTCTGGGAGTTGAAGTCCAAAAACATCTGGAGGGCCAAGGTTGGACACCACTGGTCTATAGTGTACTGTCTTAATTATCCACTACTGTATGTCCTGAGGTCCACCATAGGGGGAGCATTGTGTGAAATGAAAATGACAGCTCCCAGACAGAGCTGGTTGGTTAAAAGGGGCTGGGCAGGCATTAGCTTGCTGCTGTTTCCTGAAAGTGCTGTGTGCTAATGCTGCTCTAAATAACATCCCCATGGAATAATTAGGCTGAGGGAAAATAATTGTTCAGGCCTTCCCCAATCACATGACTTTGACTGCTCTGGATTTGCACTGAATGCTGGTGTGGGTTTAATTGTTTATCTTTTTAACATGGTTTAAAATTTGTTATTGCACTGCATACTCCATATGCATTCCTAAATGAATTCTTTATAGAATACATTATATCAAGTAGTATACAAACACTGTGTGTGTGTTCTGTGCCATCAAGTCAGAACCGACTTATGAGTGGGGGATTCAAACCAGGCCTCTTGAGTCCTAGTCCATCACTTTATCCACTACACCACCCTGGATAAAGTGCATTAGGGCAGTGCACAAAAAAAAAAAGCAGCATTTTGTGGAAATTTTCCAACCCTGGATAAAGTGCATTAGGGCAGTGCATATATGCTGCATCATTCCCCCCCACACACACACAAAAAGATAAAGCAGAATTTTGTGGAAATTTTCCATTTCGAACCCTGTTCTCCAGAGTCCTAGTCCATCACTCTGTATCCACTACATCATGCTGGCAATCCAGTAGTGCAACTACTACAAATAAATAAATAACAAGTAAATAATATACACTACCCTGACCTTTCTGGAAGAGAAGCAGGAGACACACACAAACAGGATGTAGTTGGAATACAACTCTCCTCATCACAGTATCTTGGTCATGGCACTCACCTTACAGTGGCCAAGTCATTCATCAGGTGGACAGGATGGGAGTCAGAGAGCAATAATATCAGAAAGCAAGATCTGGGAAGGATTGATAAACGAAAGAACCACAGAGATGAGGCGAATGGCACAGTTCCTCCTTTCCATGCTGCAGCAGTAATGAGGTATGAGAATGAGACGGAAGTGAATCTGGAGTACAAAGCGGACCATCTCTACCTCTCTTCAGGCCTCTACAACTGAGAGAACATTCTTTCCTCTCTAGACATTGCAGTAAAGGGGGCTCCTAGGAAACTGACAGTGAATACGTCCCCTCCTGTGGGGAAAAACTGAAAAATGTGCTCCTGGATAAACTCTCTCTCTCTCTAGGTTGCATGTTGATGTGGAGAAAAATTGCATAGAAGTAGTTGACTCATCATCATAGGACTGAAAGGTATTTCCAAAAAGTGGCTGTAACAGATCACTGATGATATGTCATTTGAGTCTAAATGGAGGACTTACTGTACCTCATGCAGCAGTGAGCATATCCATTCTTGAAGTGGCTGAAGCATCATAGTTCAATGTCAGGAGCTTCTAATTTTTTTGGTGTGGGTAGGATTACTCTGTTTTGGTTCATTTCCAGTATGTGCGATCACTGAAAATGAGCTAAAAGTGAGCCTTTCTGTCAATTGCCAAAATTGTCAGTTTGCCAATGTTGTGAAGTGGTTTAAGAAAAGAGCCACTTCAGGATATTGAAATATTAAATACTTCCTCAGCTTCATGGAGGGTCTGGGGAAGCAATTTTTTTAAAAAAAAGTGTATTGTGCTATGTTATGTGCTGTCAAGACAGTACTGACTTACAGCAACAATAATTGGGCTTTCAAGGTAAGTGAGATATTTAAGGAGTGGTTTTACCAGTTCTACTCCCTCAGTGAGTTTCCATGGCTGAGTGGGGATTCAAACCAGGCCTCTTGAGTCCTAGTCTATCACTTTATCCACTACACCACCTTGGATAAAGTGTATTAGGGCAGTGCATATATGCTCCACCATTAAAAAAAAATAAAATATAAATAAAGAGTAGACTTTTGGTTTAGATGGGGTAGAAATCTAATAAATTAAGCGTCTAGATGGGCGGGGTAGAAATCTAATTAAGTGAAATAAAATAAAATAAAATAAAGCAGAATGTTGAGGAAATTTTCCATTTGGCTTTTTTAAAAGGTGATACATCACATGTATGCTGCCCAGATACATTTTAAATATTTTTTAAACTTCCTTGACTCCTCGCTGGAATTGAGGAAGAGTTTAATTTGCCAATATCCTGAGCTGGCTGTCTTCTTAAGTCACTTCACAATATTGGCAAATTGAGAGTGGCCCAAATAGGGCCACTAGAGGTCTATATGCCGTTTGGATGTGAGGATTGCATCAAATGGCATACTGGACCTCCTAGTAACCCTATTTAACCCTATCCAGCCTGGGTACAGGGGTACAGACAAACCCTATTACTTAAATGTCACTTAATAGGTTACGGAGTGGAGTTGGCAGAACCAAGGTGAACCTAAAATGCTTTTGAACACACACATCTTGTCACACTTTAGCTACCCTGGTAGGAACAAGAGGATCATGCGAAGAGGTATATGAAATTCAAATATATAAAAAATTATTTTTCCATTACATCAAATTATGAAGCTGCAGCCACATCAAGAATGGATATTCTCACAGTCCTTTCTGAGTGTAGAGAAGAACGGACAACTTCACATCTATGTCAGTGTATTCTATGCCCTTCAACACGTACTGTGGAAGAAGACTTGATGTTAGTGCCTCAAGTGTACTTGATGTTGCCTGTTATCAGCTGAAAAGTATCTGATGTACTTTTACATTTTTTTGTAAACCAGTTTGCATTTTAGATGTAATATGTAAGCTATTGCCTCATTTTTATATTGCATTCTATTAATTGTATTGTAGTGCTTCTGACGCAAAGAAAGAAAGACAGGTTTGTGCAGCACCATGGATGACAGCTTTTCCAGATGAGCAGTGGTTTAGGTATCTAAAGCCTGGAAGTTCAGTTCTTCACTCTGCCTCCTGCTGGTTTAGGTATCTGGCTGCAGAGCCAGAGCCTGGAAATTCAGTTCTTCACTCTGCCTCCTGTGAGTAGAGCCCAGCCTATGGGGAAAGTTGCACAGTCTCAGGAAGCCCCCCGAAGAAGAGAATGATGAACTACTTTTGAATCTTCCCTACCTGGAACACCATGAAAAGGGTATCCATCGGTCAGAAAGTGACATTCTCTTTTGTTTTCCCACAGACAGTGCGGGGAGGACCAAATGGCTATCCAACTGAGGTGCACCTCTACTCACGCGCTCCGTAGTGTGGGTGGTTGTATGAAATGCAGACTCAGCTGCGTTGCTGCATGCAGATGAATAGGTTGTGGCAGGAAAGGAGATTCCTGCAGCAAGAATGTTGCTGATCTTGTTATTAAAATCTTTCAGACTCCACACTATGGTTCTCATATTTCTCTGGGGTGAATGCAATGTGGAAATAGTTTCATGAGCCTCCTTATGCAGGATGACGGGGGCTCATTACATTAAGTAGTCTAATGTTAAATGCTGTAGAAAGTTCCCCTTATTTTACTGAGCCCCGCACTGGGTGCCAATTAGTATCACTAAGGTCTCATGTGGCCTTGTCCAAACACGCTCAGAGAGATGAACAAGAGGATTCCACGGGGAACTTGAATTTTCTCCATCTCTAGCTACTGTCAGTAACCTAGCTCCTGCTAAGAAGTAATTCAGTGGGGAACAGGAAAGGTAAGAGTCCCTGTTAGAGAATACTCAATCCTAGTGCTCTCAAATGAATGAATACAAATGGCTGTCATACAGAGACAAACCAAAACAGGGCAGAGAAAGTCACTTAAGTGTTCCAGTAATTAATTATGTTTGGTTAAGTTGATTCCTACTTATGCTGACCCTTTTCCAGGGTTTTCCAAGTACACAGAGGTGGTTTACCACAGCCGCCTTCTGGGGACACTCCAGGACTGGTGCAGCTTGTGCAAGGCTGTACAGATGGGCTCTTCTCCCAGGAGGGCACAGCGGAATCAAACTACCCACCTCTCGCTCCACAGCCAGGTACCCAACTCAGAGTGCAGTTGCATGTGCCAAAAGAACCCCAGTTATATTGATTCTGCCATGATTTAAATCTTTTTATTAATTCATTCTTTATTACACGGTCACAGACCTGCTTTTTATTAATTCATTCTTTATTACACGATCACAGACCTGAGTACAGTGGTGCCCCACAAGACGATGTTAATTCATTCCATTGAAATCGCTGTTTTGTGAAAACATCGTCTTGCGAAAAGCGTTTCCCGATTGGAATGCGTTGAAATCCATTTAATGCGTTCCAATGGGGGAAATTGTTGTTGTTTTGCGAAAATTGCCCATAGGGAAGCCATTTTGCGAAGTGCTGATCAGCTGTTAGAATCGCTGTCTTGCGAAGCATCGGTCCCGAAAACACCTATCTGTGAAAATTGTCATCCGTCCCGAAAACACCCGTTTTGCGAGTCGCGGACCTATCTGTGAAAATCGTTGTCCTGCGAAGCATCGGTCCCCCCCCCCAAAAAAAAAGTCTTGCGAAGCACGGACCGAAACATTGTCCAGTGAAAATCGCCCATAGGAAAGACTGTTTTGCGAAGTGCTATAGCAGTCGCAAAAAGTCATTGTCATGCAGGGCACCACTGTAAATTGTTTTATAAATTTCCATTCACATGATGCATGGGTAACATTGATTCATTTAGGCAGCTAATCAGTTTTTCCCAACTTGCCAGCATGGCGTTTTTAAAATGATCCAATCCCTGTATTGCTTCAATCCTTGTCGTTTTGGCACATGTGAATATTGCTGTTCATCTGTTTAGTTTGCAAATGGGTTGGGTTTGGGGTTGCCATGGCCACTTCATGGCCACTACACCTGTACCTTAAAACAATTTTGTTAAGTGCTTAGTGATACATTGCTTGCCTTTTCTTTTATATTTTTTCCACAACAGTTTACCTGTGTTTCATTTAGTAGATGTCTTCCCCATTGTACCCATTGTACCCACTTTCGTGTGACTTATAGTTAATTCCCCCCCAGGTTTTCATCAACAATTCAAGTCCCTTTTAATGATGCACTCAATTTATATAGTGACATATCCTACCAGGTGGTGCATAAACTAACAGTGTGAAGTGACAGGAAAATGGCATGTTAATACTGTTTTAGTTATAGGTACTGAATTTTTTTAACAGACCATTTTTAGGGCAGTGGGGACCTTGGATGGCATGTGTAGCCTACAGAACTGGTACAAATAGTAAGAAATGTACTGATTGGCCTGAGCAGGGCTGTTAATGATAAGACCTTTGTGAAGGAATTAATTCATAAATTCTCCATAAACTGGATTGTAGTTGTTTAGGTATATGGTTGCATAGCCAGAGGCTGGGAATTCGACTCCCCACCATGTGGGGCCGGACTTGATGATCCATAGGACCCCTTCCAGCTCTGCAATTCTAAGATGATGATGTTGATGGATGGGCAACATTTTGGATCAAAAATTGTGTCCAGAACTACAAATGGTCTACAGGAAGCACGCTTTTTTAAAAACACAGTTGCTATAAAATAACAATGGGAAGCTGGGATTGCCCTCTTGTCCTGCTTTTGAGTTTTCTATGAGCATTTAAACCACCACTGCATAAACAACAAACAAACAAGCAAACAAGCATTCCCCCCAAACCCCCTCCTGGATACCGAGCTAGATAATCATCTGGCTTGATCCTGCAAAATTCTTGTTATGGTATTCAGTTCTTGAGTCAGGCTGGGTGGACATCCTCAGCCTGATCTACGTCATAGGTCTGTTTTGATCATAAAACAGGGGAAGAAAGCCTGTGGAGAGAATGAGAGTCATATGTGATGTTCGACATAAATGTAAATTAACTCATTCATTAACTAATTTATGTTTGTCATTTTGTCATTCAAGTTGAAACATTACTTACTGATAATTCAAAATCTGCTCGATAATCCCACCCTTTTCCCTGACTATCCTTGCCAGTGGGATTAAGTGACAAAGAGCAGGTTGAAGAACAGAAAATCAGGCAGACTGTCATTCAGGTGAAGCTGTGTGTCCCACAAGGAATAGTTTTAGAAGAGGTAGCTGTGTCAGGCCATGCTAGAATATCAGGTAAAAGCAAAATACAAAAAAAAAAAAAAAAAAAAAAAAACAAAAAAAGACAAAAAGACAAAACCACTGTGGCACCTTAGCAGACTAACTGCTGTATTTAAACTTGAGCTATTGTAAATATTAAATGTGAGCTTTCGTAAACATTAATGTGAACGTTCCACAAAAGCTAATATTAAAACACATCAGTTACTCTTTAAAGTGCCACAACGTTTTTGTCATCTTTTTCCTTTTCCTTTTGTTTTTGCCTGACATCCCACAAGGAAGTTCACTTTAAAATGGAATAGTCACCAGTGTGTGACTAAGACAGCAGATCTTGAAAAAGTTATATTGTTGGACTACAGCTCCCAGAATCCCTAACCAGTATGGCCAGTAATGCAAAAAGTTACCATTCCCAAGTTCTATAAGAGAGTGCCGATGACACCATCAGGCAGCTATGTAAGGGAAAACAAAGCACTGATAAATATATATAGGTTTTGATGGCTTATATATGCAATAAATTAGTTCTGAGAATTAGCTCTTTCAAGCTTCTGCCTGCATTATAGTTGCATCCTGTCCTGGGCCTGAGCATTTACATTACAAAAGGCTCACTCAACCCTCTTTGCTCCCAACAGTATTTTGAATTATTGCAGCGTGGCCTGATGAGGTTTTAGCATGAAGAGGAATGTAGACGCTCGGCTACATGGTGAGACTAGCTGGAGCTGCCACCAGAGGGCACTGTGCTCCTCCTCCTCTTTGGCCCAAACTGGTAAGGTTGCAAAAGAGCACGGGGCTTGAATTATGTAATTCGGGAGCTAATGTTGTTTTCCCCATGGCTCTCCATGTGTACGAATATAGAATGCCAGCTGGCACAGGCTCCTGGTTGAACTCCCTCTCCTTATGTTTTGCAGCTCTGTCAATTTCAGTTCATTTTTTAAAATGTCGTTTCTCAGTTTTCTTATAATGCATTGCAATTCCGAAGTCTCAGCACTCTAGTTATCAATGGTTCTCCCCTGTGCTGAAGGCACAGAATCACAGTCAAACTGAAATGATGGTGGTAAGTGTTGTACATGTAATTTAAACTGCACTAAAGCTTAAGTAAGTGTCTCATCTAAAAAGTTCTAAGTCACCTAATTTGTCTACCGAGGGGCTACACTGAGAATGTTTCTTCCACCATATACAGTATACCTTTATGCTGGCTGGATAGCTAGGTACCTGGCTATGGAGCCAGATGTTGGGAGTTTAGTTCTCAACCATGAATCTCCAAAGAGCCAGCCTATGTGGCTTTGGGCAAACTGCACAGTCCCAGGATGTTCCCAAGAAGAAGGAAATGGCAAATCTCTACTGAAAGTGTTCAGAGTTTGAATCTTGCTTTATTCATGGTCTGATAGCAGAGTACTTTGGAATATGATTGTAATCATCCTAACATTCTCACTCTGGATGCAACATTTTCTTCCTCTTGCATTTTTGGACGGATTAGCAAGGACCCATTTCTGTTAATCCAAAGAAGGACCTTACATTAAACTTAACAGCTTTGTTAAACCTGGCGATACAGGAGATATGTGTCCTGACCTCAGACACTGTCCTGGTATTCAGGCTGCACATTTGCTCTGCTCAGTGAATCGAGCCAGTGGTTGAGAGTTCAATTCCCCACTGTGCCCCCTGGGAGAAAAAACCAGATTTGCAACCTTGAGCAAGCTGCACAGTCCCAGAGCGACACCAGATGAAGGTGCTAGCAAACCACCTCTGAGTACTCTATACCTAGAAAAAACTGAGGAAGCTTGCCATAGGTCAGAATCGACTTTTTTATTACATATAGAAAAGCTGGGGAACTTAGCTTCTGGCTGAAAATATTGTAGCCTAGAATAAAAATCTAGGGCCCTGAGATTGAGGAAGGCCCCTGCCTTGGACCAGTTCATAACATTTTGCTGACCCAGGACAGCAGCAAAGTGTGGCCACCCCTCTGTCAATATATCAAAACTGAGTTGGCTGAATGATCCTGACACAGGAAACAAGGAATCTTTCAGTGGCCTCTCCCCTCCCTTGCAGTACAAATCCAACAATAACAAATAATTAGGTGTCTTTTTAGGACACTGAAAATTTGATGCCTGAGGCAATTGCCTCACCCCCACCCCCCAACCACAAGGCCAGCCTGGCAAGAGTCAGAGATGCTAGTGATGAAAGGAGCTAGGACTGGCACCTCAGATCAGGTGTTATTATTCCAGGATAATTCAGAACAATGATTTAAACAGGCCCTGGGACAAACTAAGTATCATCTGATTATATAAGGGAGCAGGCAGCTCTGATATCTCCAAAGAGCACTGGCAGGAACAACAGCTTTTTCCAATCATTATCTAAAGCATGAAAGAAGAATATAAACAACTGTGGTGAGGAAGGAAAGGAAACATAAAAACAAGAAGGAAATGCGGGAATCAAGCAAAGGGGTAAGAAATGCAGACTAAAATCAATATAAACATTTTTTAAAAAAATGTGCTGGGGTAGCACAGATGGTGCAACATTTGGAGGCGAATTGTCCCAAGTTAAGAAATCACTGTAGACATTATCTGTTGCTTTCCTGCAGTAATTTGCCGCCAAAAGATAAGCTATTTGCATAGCTGTGCAAGAGGATTTTGACCACTGTTCCTTGCAGCTTCAAAGACAGTGCTCACCGTAGCACTCTTCCTCTACTCCCACATCACTGTCCCTTGAGACACTGCCCTTATACAGTCCCTCCTCTTTTGATTTTAATCTTCCATGCCATCTTCATAATCAATTTTGGGGAACCAACTCTGTTCTTGTTGAAACACAGCTTGCACTCGAACCTTTCACAAAAAGCAGGGAAAGACAGGCATTTTACGTTATTGCCCAGTATTTGCAACAGGAATAGAGGCAGTTTTGTGGGGGAGAAATAGAGGCACTTTCTTGTAACAGAATAATGCAGTTTGGAATGCTCTGAACACACAGCCTTCTCACAACAGAAGTACTGCCTGGAGGCAAGATGTTTGGACCATGCACAGCAAAGCAGCTAAGTACTGTGAATACATTGTGCAACAGTCCGATCATCCAGAAAAGCCCCAAATCATGCAAAAAGCTTGGACAATTATTCCACAAGCCCTGTCCTAAGTAGTCAAGAGCAGAGATGGAAAACTGCAATTGGGCAAGTCGGTGGGCAGAGGACTGTGGTTTTATGATAAGTGTCAAGGAGGATCTAGAGTACCGCCAAGTACTAGAGGGAAGATGTACATATGGCAAGGATTGCTAGAGCCTGTCTATACAGGATCAGAAACTGACATTAGAGAGAGCCCTTGTCTGAAAACAGGGAGATGCTTAACTAATCTGAACAACTGAATGCCCACAGCACATCTTCTCTCACCTCCAGGGTGATGCTTGGTCTCCAGGACTTAAGCATGGGATTTCTTTAAAGACTGATTTTGCAAACAATGAAGATCTGCCTCAGTCATTTCTCTACAATACAAACCTGCTATCAGCTCTAATAATGGCTTATCTTTGTCCTGCAGATTAATTCAGTGATGGTTGAATTATACCTGCCTCCAGGAAGAAACTACAGGATTTCCCAGTGTGGTGTAGTAGACAGAGTGATGGAACTAGGACTCTGGAGAACAGGGATTGAATCCCCACTTATGTGGTGTAGTAGACAGAGTGATGGAACTATAGCCATGGAAACTCTCTGAGGGACTGGAACTGGTAAAACCGCTCCTTAAATACCTCACTTACCTTGCCACAGTGCAATTCCTGGCATCTCCAATTAAAAAGATCCAATAAGAATTGAGGTGAATATCTGCTGCCCATCATAGTGAAGACAAAACTGAGGTATCATCAGATCTGAAATAAGAAGCATTCCTTATTAAATTCAATTTATTTTCTAATCAATGCTGGAGCAAATCCATGGGCACATAGTAGCACACACTCAGCTGCATTCGCATATCTTTTTACAGAGACACAGTGCTTGGATGTAGAGACTGTGAAAAACAGAGCATCTACCCATTCCCTGGCCCCTTTGTTTTAGGAGCTGAATGCTGCCTCTATTCTAAAGAAGCCAGGACATTCCTAAAATTAACCTGTTTGTATTTTTACTCACAGCCACAGGCTCTTGTATTGCTCCTGTATGTACGCAGAATGAAAGAGCTCTTCAGTGCTAAGTAGTCTGCATCACTCAACTCTTGTTAGCTTTTGGCTTGGTTCCTAGGAGGCCAATCCAGAGTGAGCAGGTATTCTTAGTGTAGCCAGAAGGATAAGAGAAAGCTCCTATGCCACTCAGAGCTGTCACAACAGGGCACCTTATGGCAATGGAAAGCAGACTTCCTGTGGCTTGTGCTTTCGTGGGCTGGCAGCCACATGACCAGATGCATTCTGCCTTCTTTCTCAGTAGAGGCACACACAAGGGCAAAGCAGGTTAAATGCCATTCCAAAGAGCCAAAACCTGTAGAGTCCAGTAGGGTGCTGCCCCTCCTCAGGCTATGCTCATCTTCCTCATCTGTCTGCTGTTGGCATCCTTATCAGAGGCACTGGATCGTGGGCTTTTCTTTTCCTTCTGTGTGGGCAAATACCCACTTTGACTCTGCCTCTTATCCCCATCATTGCCCACCTGTATTAGACCCTCTGTCTCACACACCAAATTGGGTACAAGCTGCCACTGGAAAAGGCTCTAAATACAAAAGGAAGTATTATCACTATTGTGAATAGATATGGTGCTTCTTCTATGTAGCTGATTTTTATTTTTTTAAAAAAATCAAAATTTGCATTTTAGCACTTTCCTTCTGTGTATATCTGGGTGAATCTACAATAAATATACATTAAGATAAGGAAAAGGGGACTTCTGCTTTGTGACAGAAGGAGGAGGAGGTTCCATCCCCTGGGCTGAGTTCCGACTTGTTTGGAAACTCCTAGGGGCTTAAAACCGCCCTGAAGAGGTGGTGAAATGGGGGAGAAGCCTGTTGATCACGGGGGGTGGTGGTGGCAGTTAACCCTGTTTGATCCAGGAAACTCCTCAATCAACCAGTGGGCAGAAACAAGCAGCTGAATAGTTCTCTTACAAGTCATTGGCAGCCAGCAATAGAGAAGCGATAAACCAGCTAATTAACATCATTGTTACCATTGGGTGAGAAATATTTTATAACTATACTGCTTTATGACTAACCCTGGATGAGGCAATCCCTATAACAGAAATAGTGTCTCTTATCCTCACCACTTATAGAGCAGAGATGAATCTGGAGAGAGAGAAGAAACGCAAAGAGATGCAAAGAAAATAAATTGGACACTAATTAGACATTTAATTATACTTCAAGGAAGAAAGTTTGGTATTACTTTGGCATTAGAAACTTAAGAAATCCTTCTCTTAAAATCATTATTAGATATACAACTCTGGGAGTTAAACTTGTCACGTTATGGCTATATAAGTGTTGGCAAAAGCCCAAAACACATGACCTTAAACACTCTGTGATGGCCCTAAACTGGGAATCTGTTTTGACTCTCCTTTTTTCCCCCTGAGAACTGATTGAAGCATTGACAAATTAACCCTGGAAAGTCTAACAAAGACAATTCATCTTGGAATATATATCTGGCTAATGTGGACCTATGTGGATCAATAAAAACATTTGGATGTATCCTGGACCACTTCTGGGGCTGGACTACAAAAGACATCAGGCCATGAATACAAACATCGAGTGAACTCTTTGGTGAGCAGGTGTCCTTGAGCCTCCAAGCAGGGGAAACCCTTTACGTCTGATACTGGATTCAAGTTTAGCCCTAAAGATGATCTATCTATTAAAGTGGACCTTTTGAAGCAAGTATTGATGGAATTGGACTGATAGCTTTAAGCAGCTGGACAACTTTCACTTGGAATACAATTATTTGATATCTGGGACATAATGCTACAACTAGGAAAATTTTGGGATGAAACAAAATCTACCCTTCAAGCAATTTTAGAAATTGTGAGATCCCATAATGAAGAGATGAAATTATTCAATGAGCAGTTAAGGAACGAATATAGTCAACGGGGGACAGGGAATAATGAACAAGGAAATGAGAGGGTGGTGGATGATGCATGCCAATCAAAGGAGGGGCTGGACGGAATCGGAGGTGAAAATTTAGGAGAGCTAAATCTAACCCTGGAGTCTTAGGTGTGCAAGGGAAGGTAAGGGGAGAGAACCAGCAACTTTAATTAAAAATAGCCTGGAAGATCTATTAGAGAGAGATCAAGTGTATAAAATGACCTCAGATGGTACAAGGGATGGCAGAGTTTTTAGAGAGATAGGAATAAGAATTGGGAAAAACAAACAAGAGAAAGAGTTACTTAGAAAGATAAAGGAAAACAAAATTAAGGTGGCCTTCAACATTGAAAGCATATATATACCTAACTTCTGGAATTGCAAGGGGACACATCTTATATATTAGAACAGTGGTTCTTAACCTTTGTTACTCAGATGCTTTTGAACTGCAACTCCCAGAAACCCCAGTCAGGACAGCTGGTGGTGAAGGCTTCTGGGAGTTGCAGTCCAAAACTCCTGAGTAGCCCAAGGTTAAGAACCAGAAGGAATCCAACTGAAATAAGAGATCACTAATCAGGTTAAAGGCATAACACAGTGGTTCTTGAGGTACATTGAAGCTAGACGTAAGAAAAAGGTAAAACAAAGTGTATTTAATTAACATATATTAGATATGATATAGATATTATAGACATGGCAGAAAAATGTAGTGATAGAAATGGCTAAACAATTATATAAAGAAAATCTATATAAAATGCTTTAGATAACATTTATTATGTGTTAGGAACTGATTTAGTTATTATTGGTATAAAATACAACGTTTGACCATGCAAAAGCCTTTGACTGTATGGACCACAACAAACTATGGCAAGTCCTTAAAGAAATGGGAGTGCCTGACCACCTTATCTATCTCCTGAGAAATCTATACATGGGACAGGAAGCAAAAGTTGGAACTGGATATGGAACAACTGATCAGTTCAAAATTGGGAAAGGAGTATGACAAGGCTGTATATTGTCTCCCTGTTTATTTAACTTATATGCAGAATACATAATGTGAAAGGCTGGAGTGGATGAATCCCAAGCTGGAATCAAGATTGCTGGAAGAAATATCAACAAC